CCACTACATTCTTCAGATGTCAGCAGGGTTAAATGCTTCACTTCACCGAACTGTTCAAAATAGGATTGTAGTTTCTGACGGTCGGTTTCATTATTGAAGCCCGATACGCATATTTTCCTTGTTCTTGAATATTTTGGTCGGCGTTTGATGTCATCATCTCGTCCATTGTTTTGTTTTGGTTTCGTATAACCGTTTATATCAAATTTGAGCAAATTTTGTTGGAATACCATCTTTTGGTATTCGCAAATTTGCTGAACAGTGTATTGAATTGAAAATTGTCTAGATTCGGACGTGGTTGCTGGATATTGATTACTTGGATGGTCATTCCGTTGGTATGCCTTGTGAGCAAGTTGGGTTTCATTATTTTGGTTACTTTGAGTCTGCCCTTGAAATCCAGACGGTGGGCACGAGGTTCTAGCCTGAGCATTATTGTTGTGTTGGTTATACATGTTACTGTCTAGTGTTTCACTGAATTGTCTCTGATAATCACTCACTAAATTTTGGTCGAGATCCACTATTTTCTTCAATGGTAAATTCTAATAAATCACTTGCTATTTGATATACAAATAGAGGTAAACTGTTTCACTTCAAAGATCACTTTGTCACTAACAATATTAATTCCAAGTTGTCCCTTTTATATACAACCTGACCAGGAGTACCAACTTATGACGGAGAGGGGTTGTTTTGGAATTAGCCAATGAAAGAAGTTCAAATTGGATTTATGAAAACTGATTTCATACGATTTGTACCTGAATGAATTTGGAGGTAAAATGTTTCACAAAATGTAAATTTTTGATGAAAATAAATTGAAGTCGATGTAGGAAACTGGGGATGAAATGGACTGAATTTTGGGTCAGTAAATGTTTTTTTTTTATGATTATCACTGAAACTGGACCTCCTGTTGAAAAAAGTTGAACTTGAACACATCCTTCACCAAGATTGTGATTTGTGACAAATATGAAGGTCTATATTTTCTTATAAACCCTTCGTCCATATTATCTACGTTTTTTCGAGAAAAGTCGGTTTTCTTGTTTTCTTTCATAAACATAAAAAAAATTACATTTGGATAAAATTCACTAATTTGTGAACCACGGTAATAATTTTCTCAAATTCAAAATATACTTTTTAACACGATTATTTTCCACCAAATGGCAATAAACAAATGAAACAATAAACAATGAAAAACAAAATTTTTAAAATATCTCCATGACGAAATACTCTTCAAATGAGTCTCTATTGTAAATAAAGACAGTTGTATGAAATGAAAACCTAAGTAAAAGTTATACAAAAATTATTTTCTTTATCCCATAGTTTCCATTGTAAATGGAGCACAAGCTGTTCTTAGAATATTCATGAATTATATTGAGAATGTTCAAGTTGTGGTAATTGAGATATTAAATCTTAGGTAAACAAGAGGATAAACAAAGCTATATTTTGAAGATGGTTATTTTCTGATTATTTTCATCCTGGTGAAGGATGTGTTCTAGGTATTTTTATTTTGTATATAACCTCAATAGACACTACAGGTAACACAGAGGAAACAGTGAAATTCTTCAATATATTTACAAATGTCCAAACCAAAAAGTGAAACTACTTTCAAAAGACCGTCCAAGAAGATACAATTCCAGAATTAGTGATAAGGTTGGTAATGATATTACAGATAATTTTGAATGAAAACAGGAAGGAATAATACTTTCGCCTAACTTCAAGGCAGTAAAAATTTTGCCTTCGAAGAAACTCATTGAAACATACGGTAGTATAGATTTGAGGAATGAACATTGACCTGCAAAATTCTATCAATAGAGACTCCACAAAATCTAGATTGAACAAAAGTATTGAATCTTTATTCAGAATAAATTATTTTCCCAAAATCTTTCACTGGATAGATGACTCACAAATTTCTTTTCAAAATAATGAATTGCGTCAAATATAGCTTCTAATCAGTAAACATTTCCGGATGGTAATCTTCTATTCTNAACCTGTAAATAATCTATCAATGAAATTAATTAAATGAAAATAAACAGAGTGCTTAGAACATATCTTTCACCAGAATAGAATCGTTTCTCAAATTTAATGTTAATCCTTTTGTCTTTCTAAGATTCAGGATATCGGTTACCACGAATTGACCAAATAAAATAATAAATTGTTCTGAACTTGTACTTATCATCTATGCAACTGTCCCCATTTACAATGAAAACTCTTTTGAGAGATTGTTTTTGTCATGGCAATAATATTTTCAACATTTGATTTTTCGTTATCTTAACATCATAACACAAAATAATGTAGGCATGTATATTCTGCAACGCATTTTATTATTATTGATAGTAAAAATAATGGAGCCCAGAAAAATATATTTTTAAGAGAACGGTGCTTTGCCTCACAACACTGTAATTGTCACCAATTTTTTGTCTGCAAATTTTGGTAAAAATTTGATAGTTGACCAAGGACCCAACCATTGACCGGCCAGGTCACGAACGTAACGCCTATGGACTTTCACTTCTGGGAAAGGTTGAAAGATCT